AATAGAATTTATCGGCAAGAATAAATTCTATTCACCGCTGACGGGTAAAGCGTTTTAACACTTCGCCAAACGATGCTTGTATCTTTTATCAGGGAACGAACGAAATAAAGATTATATTTAAATTGGATATTTATTAGATTGTAAGGAACTATCTAATAGCAACGTCTTGCTGAATTATCTGATCTGGGCAGGACTTAGCATGTGACATTGGGAGATATTGGGAAGATACATTCACTATTTATTTATGAATGCTCATAGTGTCGAACTGTAAGCAATAGAAATTATGAGGATGTATTGACAGGTAATGAGATAAAGAAAATAAGTGAACGATTATTTGTCAACTATGTTCATTTATATTGCCATGCAAACGGAATGAACTATCACTACGCATTTTTACTTCCGCTACTAATGTTGGTAGGAATTAAATCCGATAATAACAATGGAATTAGGTATTTCCTATTCCTTCTATTCATTGTCGTCAATGTTCGTGTTTATTTCAAAGATCCGGAAAATCAACAAGTTAATACCACGCGCAAAGATCATAAAAAATGGTTTATGTGGGAGTCTGCAATAGATTGGTGGATAAATAGTTAAAACGTGTAGCTAATTAATTGATCTCAAACAACATATTCGTAGATGTTTTAATATAAGTTAGCCTTACAAATAGAATAAATGTGATTCTAGTGATCATGATGGCAAATCATTACTTGGTCGACTAAAGTGACGATTCGAAGACTATTAGCAAGCAGTCAACATTACGACATGTGGATTAAAAACGATCTTTCAGCATACTAACTGTATGTTTTCCCACGGCTGTCTGATGCGATTAAATAATCAAACCGTTGACCGCATTGTAAATGCTATGGTATTCAACAAGAATGTAGAAATGATCAACATTCTTGCTGCGTATTGCAAGATACAGATCTACATTGTTAAGATCATATGATACTCATTACTATGAAAGGCATTGCATGCAAAAAACATTGAATTTTTCGATTGTTCGCTGTGCTGATGAGTTGGCGATTAACACGTAGCATTAAACACACAAATTACCAAAGAAGATTAGAGCATTGTTACCATTGTCATATGCATTTGCAGTTCTCACACTTGCATACATAATTGGTCGATACAAAGCTCTCCTTGTTTCTCCATTATTAGAATGATCTCCCATATGTCCAATAAATTGACAGCAATTCAAATGCCGCTTTTCCCAATCGTCAATCATCAGCAGTCCGAACTCTATAGAAGCTGTTGTATATACCTTATTTATTTAACTCTAAAAATATGAATACCTCTCTACCTTTCGAACTTCTTACTATGATTCTAGAAGAATACATAAATGATAAAACAACACTTCATTCATGTATTTTAGTTAACAGAAACTGGTGTTCTGTAGCTATACAATATCTATGGGCCAACCCCTTTACGCTGCTATGCAAGAACAGAATGCCATATAGCATACCAAAAACCAGACAAGCGGAAAAGCTCATGACTATATTTATCGAATGTTTTACCGATGCGAGTGAAATCTTGGACGAATTGGGATGTCTAGACAAGAGAATCGCCAAAAGGTTACCGTTCAATTATGATGATTATCTAAAGGAACTTGATTACAAAGACATAAAGAAGGTTGTAGAAGACTGGTTGAGTGGCATAAATGTTCCAGAATCGAAAATAGAAATGACAACAATTCGGGTTTTTACTTTGGCTATACAACATTGTCGCAGATTGCAAACACTCAATTTCAACACAGAGAAATCACCAGCATGCAGCCAGTTGAACAGCTGTCTTTCTTCAGTTCAAAGCTTGCCATACTTGAGAAACTTTACATGGCGCTCTCGAAGATCATACCGACAAGTTTTCGATTCACTTTCAAAAGTAGCACAGAATATGGAATCAGTCACACTCCATGGTAATTATGGCAGCCTTTACAGAAAACATCTATGGCACAGTTTGATAAGACTCATCGAGTCATTACAACAATTAAAATCTTTCAAAATTCTACATACAAGCTGGAATATGGATTTAGTTTTACGATTATTGAAAGGGCATTTAAACACTCTCGAATCAATCACCTTCAAGGCCTCCAAGTCAAGAAACAGAAATTCATTTGTTGAGACTGTTGAAATCCAATTAAAAAATACAGCTATAAGAAAATGCTATTACAATTCAAGGCTTTTCAACAATAATGACTTGAAACAATTTGCATACGTTAGATGGCCAAATTTACAAGAAATTGTATTTAGTGAGTTGGACTTCTTACCTGAAATCTTGACAACACTCATTCACAATCATGGGAAAACATTAACTTCAATGGAAATTGGAAAAGTCGCCATCACCAGTAAGATTTGCAAGAGTATTTTACAAAACTGTACAAGCCTTACCCACTTGTCTATCGTGATATCACAACAACTGGTTATGCGAGTTGCTTATATGATTGCGAAATTATCCAACTTGCATTCCATCACCCTGTCTTGGGAAACTTATAGCTTTAGAGACATTGATGTCCTTTTCAATAACCTTGCAAATCACGAGTTACCGCACTTGTACAAGTTACAAATGGTGTCTGGAGATAGGTTTCAAGTGGATTCTCTACAAAACTTTTTATCGAATTCAAGACCACCACTCCAAACATTATGTATCAACAGTAGAGGCAGTGTTACCGATGAGCATTTAAACGTCATTTTGGATTATCTTGGCGATACGCTCAAAAAATTGAAACTTAATTATGACGTTAACGTGGTATCGAAGGCGTGTATGGAAAGAGTGTTAAGGGTAGTGGAGGTCTTTGATAAAAAGTTTTATGATTAAGTTATAAATATAAATTATTTAAAGAAATAAACCGACAACAGTTGCTCCTTACAATTCTTTTTCTGTCGATTCATCATGCAACGCAGTGTGCAAGTGTTTCAATAGCGTAAGACTTTACAGAAAGTGTTTCAGGCTATTGTTGCTCGTTAAAGCGTTCGGTGGGTGTGAATGCAATGCAGTCATCTTTTTCGCGGACTAGAAAAGAACGTGATTGGGACACACATAGTGGGGTAACGAATGAACTTCAAAATTCAGACGATCAAGCTTCCTATGTTTAGAGCAATCAAGTGTACTGCGAATTGAGGAAGAAACAAACGGATATCAGGTAAAAAAGCGCTAATTGGTAAAGAGTTGAGGGAGATACCATTTGACAACCAGTAGTAATCGCATGTCTCCGACTATTTGAGTATCTTGTAATTGCCGCCCTCTTATGATATCGGCTCAAATCACGAGCATATTTTGAACAGCAGGGCGACAAGTGCTTAAAAAGCAAATCCAATCTTTATTATTATACATATTATATGAAATTCGTAACGATCAACAATAATAATAAAAATGGAAAATATGCGATATATATAATGACGTATGAAAAAAGTGTTGAATTGAAAGAAACAAAAAAAAAGTAATGCCTTATATATGCAAATGTTGAGAATAAGCAATATACATTAATAATAATGCTGCTAATATATAATTAAGAATTTGATTTTTTTTTTCTACACGAGAACGTCTCGTATCTTCCCCCCTTGAAATTACACGTAATACATGGGATAGTTTTTCGCAAGCTCAATCTTGGTCATGCCCAACTGGCCGTTATAAAAATGTGATCGTGCCCTTTTCGCTGCACAATGTGCATAATAAGTCGGTGCAGGAATAGAAACTGCTCTGGTCGCCCGTTGAAAGTTATAACACAATTTGTTCGTAAAGTCCTGAAGTTCATCTACTTCAAACTTATTCTCATCGTGCAAAACGTGATATAGACTTGGACGCGACGTCCCTTGAAGACTAGAGTGAGAAGTGAGATAGAAATTAAAAAGATAGGGATGCGTAATAACTCGCTCGACAACCAGACCGGGCTTCACGTTTCCTTTTTTGTCGGCATCTTGTCTGTCCATAGGATAGAATCGATTGTGGTGTCTCTTGCAGACAACAATATACGAGATTTTTGGTTTGTAGTTGGCTTTCAGTCTGGTACAAGCTCTTCTGATACTAGGAAGTTCCTTATCCAATGCCAGAGGTTTGAACTGGCTTTCGCTAATGCCGTCTCTGTACATGATGATGCTCTCGGGCTCCTTTTTGTTTATTCGCACGAATTCACACAAGAGCTGGTACGTCAATTCCTCCATGTCGTCGATTTCTTCTTTTCCTCGACCTGTTTTTTTGCTGTTAACCTTTGCTTCTTTAAACTGCGGTATATGTCTCTCGGCATATCGGGCAGCATATTGATCCATGGATGCAACTACGGCCGCGATCGAAGGAAAATCGGTTGTTTCTGGTGGAGGATGAGTGACGTCAGCGCCCATGATCATGATTCGTTGTTTATCGATTCGTGGAAGACGGACGGTGGAATTGGTTCCGTTTAGTTTCAAATTAAGTTTTGCGGTAACATTCGCGAGGTATTGTGGTTTGCAGGCTGCAACATGATGGGACTGTATACATTGAGACAAAATACCAACATGGGTATCCATGACTTCTTTAACAAGGTTGTATTGTTTTGTATTCATGGGATGTTTATCACCATCGATGAAGAAAACGACCAACTGTAGATCCAATCGTCGATTACTTGCTGCCCTCTTGGCCTCCTCTACTGTTCTGATGATCTCGTTGCGAGCTTGTTCGAATACTCTCGACCGAATGTACTTGGGTGGCATAGAATCGCCATTAACGTTCATGCCTTGAATTGTGGCTTGTCGGGCTAGACTCTTCATAAACTTGTTGATGACCTCTGGACCAACCGCTTGTGTCAACGAAATAGCAATCCAACTTTTTAAAGATTCGCCAGATTTAAAGTACTTCACGTCACGGAGATTCCAAGCTGCGTCCCAATCTTTTGGTATAATTTGTGCGCCCTGCTTAGATGAATCAGAGTACGAAACTTCTGGTGTGTTTATGAAGCGACCGGGTACATTAACCATTCGCGTATTGAGTCTGATCCCGGCTTTTCGGAGTATTTCGTCTTTACTAAATGCCAACACGTCATGGACACCGTTTAGTATAAGCTGCTTGTTTTCCGTAGGATGTTTAGCAGTAATCTTGATCATTTCTCCACGTTGTTTACTGCTTAATGGTCGGCCTTTATAGTGTTGTCCCTACAATTAATAAGAAATATTCAGTTTGATTCACTGGGAATGCAAGCACTTTAATCTCCGCTACCAACTCCACTATTACGACCCACGATGAAAAGAAAAAGCTAAAATTTACCTCAATAACACCGAGGCATTCAATAGGATATTTGCTACCCTTCGTATCCTCTACGACAAATGGTGTGCGAATCTTCTTGTTGTATTTACGAGCGAAAAATTCCTTAACGCTCTCTTCTCTCCCAATTTCTTTATTCGGAAACATGGTTTTATCCGCAGGTAAATCATGGAACCTTTTGATAGTATGAACGGCCCCGGATTCTGGGCGATGCAGTGGTCTAACTCGGATGTGTCGGAAAGCCTTATTTAAAAGTGACATTATCTCGGGTCTGAACAAGTCTGGTAAAGTCTGCGTGTTAAGATACTTGCAAATCAAGGTGCATAAATCGTTCGACTCGAAAGTGACGGTATAAGTCACATTCACGTTCAGAAATACTTTTCCTAATTTTCCTAATAATGCAGGGAAAACGAACACGTTAGCTAAACAAAAAAGTTAAACTTTTTTTTACGCAATAAGTATTTGTCACTACCAATTTACCTCTTCCGTCTCCTTCTCCTGGACGAACACTAAGGAAATATCCTTGTAATAATTCTGCGCCGTCTCCGAGCGGTCTTTTTGTTTCAGGCAGGAAGAAAGAATCACCATATTGAACAAATTTAAGGGCAGGATTGTATTGTATGAACGCATTTAAAGCGTTCAACATCAGATTGTCGAAGAAATCCCACTCGAAATTCTCTCCAGTCAAGACATCCTTTAGATCGTCCATTGAAATTGTTGGCTTGCTAGGGTTTTCCCTGATTTCTACGTAATACTCGCAGTCGTTTTCAACCTCGACAAGTTGGTTTATTTGATTGTTGCTACTGAGGGTAAGTTTACCGGATGTAAAAAGGTTGGAGCCTCCGTCATATGCTACGCCCACACCTTTGAAGTATTCCTCTTTGTTTAGTTTATGAAAGGTGGCAAAGACATGCCTTCGAGTACGTCTTCGTCCGGCAGAGTCACCAGTAAACTCCGTTGGACCCTTACGAGAGGTATCACGTTTAAACTCTATTACATACTGGCGAAACGTCATATTCTTTGTTTCGATTTCGAACATGTTTGTTAATACTTTGGTTCGGCGGTCTTTGGAACCTATTCTTCCTTCGTCACCATAGCCGGGACGTTTGTAAGGCACGAGTTCTGATGTCATGGCGAGAGTTGTTATTCGCAATTAAGTTGTGTGCGGTATGTTTGTCTGCGAGAATGATTTTTTCAATTTGGTATTTTGTATAGAATGCTTGGAAACGAACAAGGTTGGGTTTTGGTTGTTGAACATTGGAAGAGTTTGGGAGGATATTTATATGCCTTGGTTTTCCGATTCACGCCGTGTTATCATAAATAAAAATAACAATAACTACAATATAACAACAAGGGCAATTACTGCGTACTGCGGGGCGACTGCGCGCAGTAACATTATTAGTCAAATACAGTTGTGGGGTGACATAATATCGATCTTCTTGCGGAGAGATTGATGGCGGGAAGTATATGGACGGCAACACTGTGTTGTCTCAATTAGGCAAGATATGTGTCGATCATACTTATCAATATACTGTAGAACGAACATAAACAAAGACAACAACAAACAATATAAGTTGTTAGTCTATATTGTTAATGGGGTATTGTAAACAAATATATTAAGTGATGTATGGGAACTGATGTTATCAATAACATCCATAAATGCTCAACACTGTTGCTATTTCCAACCTCGTTTTTATGCAGGGATGTCGATTACAAAGCACACGATATATCGATCATCAAAGATCACACTCTATTGCAAAACTATGATTTTTGATATTTACAAAGAAGAATGTCAGGTCATTGTTTTTAATACTATCCGTAATAATAATTACTAATTACGTTCGTGTAACGACAACTTTGTCCAACCTGTTAATCCATTCTTCCGACATGTGGCAGGCGACTATTGGCATCGATTATTTGCGAGTGTGAGTTATTATACATCTAAACATGGTATCAATGTCAAAATGAAATCATTCTAGACTCATAATTGTTAGGAGCAGGTATTGTGCTTTACGATCAGACAAGTGTGTTGAACAGAATAATAACCATCTCTGAAAATAACCCTTCATCCATTGTATCATACGCCATACATGTATGTGTGAAAAACACTTGTCGATCACTATTGTAGAATATTGTAGAATATTGTAGAATAATAGCTTCGTATCATGTGATATGCCATCTATTCGTAAAGTCAAAATACCGGTAAAACTTCAGATATTGAACGGTTAATTGAGTGAATAATAACAACAATATTCTTATGCTAAATAAACTGATTTTTTCATTATGTCAGCTTCTGCGTCTCTCTCGATTAACCATGCCAACGTGTATAGTTAGAATTGTGCAACAAACTTTGAAAGTCTGGTCTGTTGACTGTATATTTTTGATACTGTTCGGAAAAACATGAAAATTGTTATAGACTAGTAAGGGGTTACCGAGTATGAAGATCTGGTTGCTGATAGAGAGTTTGCCATTGTTTCTCGATATGTATTATTTACTGCATGTAAATCTTCAGATGTAGCGAATCGTTAGTTCTAAAAAATGTCAACAGAATACAATCAGGCCATATGCGAAACCTTATGATTAATCTCAAGAACGCAGTAAATTTATCAGCATCTCTTAGCATAACGTCTCAGTTACCACTCTTCATTTTCTTGTCTCACAAGAAAATTACTTTGACGATTGACGACGCCACACAAAGTTTATGGGATTTCCTGCAATATCTTTAGCCAACGTAATTGTGTAAATAAGATAAGCGCACCCCTTATCTCAAACTTTATAAGGGTGCGAGTCTATAATTGGATATATTAATATTGATACTTTAGTGGGTTATCTAATCGTTGCACGAACAGCTTTTGTCAAGCTACATTTAATCATCAATGTCGTCATCAACCAAAACTACTCGTCGTGCAGAGGTCTAAAAACATCTTACCCTCTGCACAGTATTTGCTTATATGATTGTGCTTACCTTGCCGCAATCAGCATAGATACGGTAACCATTGAAATAGAGCATAGAAAATACTCTGCATATGTATTATGTTGTAAATAAAAATCACGGATTAGATGTCGGTTAGCAAAAAACCCCCCCATTTTTTAACACTGTATATTAACGTTAATAATGACAATTTTACAGCAATGTTTAAATAACAATTAAGACAATAGCGTTTGTGCATGCGCCTTCACAATTACATCTTACTTGATTACTTGATGCAGTTCTAACTAAGCTTTGGCCTCTTGCCGCCTCCCGTACACATATTATTCATCTAATTCAGGAAACTTAGCTAAATTTGATTTATTGGCGCGGCGAAAGTAACATTTAGAATTTGGAAGCACATCCCAGTCGATACTTCCTATTTGATTTTTCGATTATCCTACAAGAAAGTAACGATCTGTCCATATCTGATATTATATCGTCGATATGATTGTCACCATGGTTCCTTTCTGAAATTTCTATTTAGTATTAGAAAAGAGTCACATTCTCTGTATGCGTTAGTAATGATTTTTCTATTAGTGCGACGATTTGAATAGAACGATTGTCTTGAAAAATGGCGTAATCAAGTTTGAGCAGCTGAATACGCTAGCGTTGGTTTTCTGATTGGTGCGAAGATGCAAATATAATAGGAATACGCTTAAAATGGTGTAACCAAACATGCCATTGTGAAAAATGCTTCAAGTTAGCGTAAATTTTCAATGGACGTATCGATAGAAGGATTGCTTTGAGCTACCTAAATACGTTAGCTATAATTCTGCTATTGGTGAGGATGCATTTGGTTCATGGTATATTTAGGCTAAATGCATTTATCAGCCCCAAACTGATATCGTGTGAAATTACAGATCTGCCAGATATCAAAAAACCACCTGCCTTTGTTTGGTGATAGAAGATTGTCCGTTGTTGTTTAAAATCTTATTGACAACCAATTATTATTATATTGTCGTTTAACAATTTATTTATTGAGCTAATCATACAACCTAACGACTATTCTATGTGTGTTTCATGTCGAATGATTTAAACATATTTGTCGACAATGGGATTATTATGGTCTATCTATAGTATTATAAACCTTTCTTCGACAACTTTGGTCTAGACTATATAAGTTTACAAATCCCAAGTCAAACAACAAAGTCCGAGCGTAGTCTTAGTTCAAACCCCATACATAGAGGGCTTTATGTCTATTGAGAGCAAATATAACTTGGGGATTTACATACGACATATACTGTATGTATAACTCGATTATAATAAAACTTATGTAATGGCCTATTATTTCCAACAAATATTTTTCAACTCACTTCGTGCTTCACGCAAAAGTGTAAAATGTCGCAATCTATCAGCGGTGGATGGCATGATATTATTGGAAGAAGGACTATACGTGAGGCTGCCAACATCACACCTATAAATAATTCGGGGTGTAATGGATGAAAGTTGTAATCCGGGTTATTTGATACGCGCAGAATTAGCAATATGTTCGAATAACTCAATCGTCGGTAGACTAAAGGAGCTATGTAATGACATATAGTTACAAAATAACCTTCATATAGAAAACCGGGTAACCTGCTAAAAAATTTTACATAAATGATAATCAGAAACGGGCAATTTCACTAACATTCTGTTTCGAAGTACTGGTATGACGGTACAAGACCAATACGCTCGATGCAAAGGACCAAGGTAAAATTATGTCATAGGTTGGGGGTTTTTTGCAAAAGAGAAGACTGGCTTCTGTCAAATCACGGATAGAACAAACTTAAAAAGACCGTCCGTTAACAGGATAACAATTCTAAAAGCACCTCTTGTGTTGTGAAGAAATTTCTTCAAAACAATGTTTCAATAATTTTAGATTGGAAGAGTCCTCAACACTGATCTTATTGCAACTTTTGGAACACGGTCAACAAAGAACCGGATGATTGAAAAATGGAACAACATTCCACATTCTGTCCTGATTCATTAGTAATATTCTATAAGGCACTGATACAACTAATTATAAAGATCGCATCCACTACTAAAATATATCAGTAAACCAACACGCTTCAGGCGTTCAAATATGGTATTTGGAATAACGTATGATGAGTTAGAGTAGAATCTACCTTTTGTGGACATCACATGAACGCATTCCCCAAAATAGGCTAGCAGGTGATAAGAAACAGAATCCCGTGACCGTGCATGTAGAAAAGTGCTCTCGAGAATGTATCGAAAATTTTAGAACAATGTCGTTAGTGGCACATTTAACAATTGACCGCTTGATTCAATCCTCCCTATCAAACGATTATAATGAAAGATTTGAATGGATCCCTTTCTCGGATATTACCGACATAAAGCAAAGTCAATTTGACACTGTCCATTACGCTATTTGGCTAACATTACGTAGCGGCGAAGTTTATGAAACGAATATAATGTTGCTATTAGTTGGAAAAGATGAAATATGCACACCAACGTTTATGAGTGAGTTTGCTAGAATATACTCACTTCCAACACACAAGTACAGTAATGACGTCAGCCAATTCAAAAGTTATTCCGAATGGCTTCGTTATCGCAATGAGGCGATAAAAGGATTTACCGAATATGAAGATAGCTATTATCTAGTTGCCGGTAGAGAGTTTTATCGTTATTATTCGCTACATGGTTTCTGCTCGGCATGTGGAATACTCAGATGTAGTCCTGTGTGGTGCGTTTGTGGACATAAAGAATTGTCTAGTGGATGGACCAGCAATAACAAACATCTCGATGAGTTTATTAGGAAATCACAGATACAGACACGCTCAGCGAATGAAGCCTATTTGGAATGGATTCCATTTGATTTTATTGTGAATAGTGGATATGGCGCACGCTTTTATGGTATACCTAGTACTACTTATGATGGTCTCTGCGTGAAATTGATTTCATTTGAAATAACAGATGAGACAGATGAGTCATATTATGACAAGGTAAGTTATGCAATTATGAATATATTAATATCATGTTTATTGAAAATTATCGACTCAACGTATAATTTCAATAGTTATGTGATGAGAATCCAGATATTTTTATCAAGAATACGTGGGTTACCGTAGGATTTACATATGATGCAAGCAAGCAGAAGCATTATCTAATAAAGGAAAAAAATGAGATTGGATTATGTCTGGCGTGTACAGCAGCGTTTGAAC